AGGGTTCAGGGTTTAGGGTTTAGGGTTTAGGGTTCAGGGTTTATAGGGTTCAGGATTTGGGGTTCAGGGTTTAGGGTTTGAGGGTGTGTCCTAACAGCCTGGATTTCCTTCTCGACAAGGGACGTTCTAGTAGTTTGAATAGGCACTGGGTGTATAATATACCAGAAATCTTTGAGGGTTTCCTTTTTGACAACGGGGACCTTCATAATCTCTATACTCTATAGGCTTTTGGGGGTATCTTCTACCATAAACATCTTAAGGAGCCTCTGTCTCCTTCTTGATAAGGGGCCTGAGTACGACTAAATTCAATAGGCTTTTGGGGTATATTAGGGTTTAGGGTTTAGGGTTTAGGGTTTATTATACCACAAAACAACAGCCTGGGTTTCCTTCTTGAGAACGGGGACCTGAGTAAGTTCAACAGGCTCTCTGGTGCATATGATACCATAAACCTTTGAGGAACCGAGAGCACCATGGACGCTAGAAGAATCGAAACCGGAATGCCTTTAACCCAAGCCCTGAGCCCTGAACCCTAAACCCCTCCACCCTGAATCCCCCGCGCCACAAACTCCCAACCTCCAGTCGAACTTTGCGGAACACTGTGCCCTGGTTGCGCCTTCGGTGTCAACCTACACCCTAGAATACCTTAACTCTGAGCCCGAAAATCCTAAATCCTACACCCAAGACCCTAGATCCATTCCAACACCAAACAACAAAGCGCCGGGTAAGGAATCCCATGGCTGAGGCGACCCCCGGCGGTCCCAGGAAACTGCTTCGGGCACGCTCGTTTTGGGTCACCAGATGATTGGGTTCAAGAGTTCCCTTTTTGGATTCTGTAAGGGTTCCTTTGAGAGTTTCGAAGTTCAGGAGTTTGGGGGTTCAGTGCTTGTTTTTAGTCTAGGGTCTGAGGGTCTGTAAGTTCCGGGGTCGCTGGCTTTGGACTAAGCCCCTGAAATATGCTCTACAAAACCCTACGAAACCATGATAGACAAACCTCTGAAATCCCTGCATTATGACATGAGAAACGATGCAAGAACCATCTACAAACACCTTGTTCTAATTACGCTTCTTAAGGCCTTTGAGCCCTTCTGAAGGTGCTCTTAGAGGGGACCGCTTTAGAATTCCTTCACGGGTCCCTTGAAGAGTGTCTTTCAGCGTTCCTGTAAGGGTTCGCAGAAGAGTCCCCTGGACAACTTTCTAGGCCCTTGTAGGGGTTCCTTCCAGGGTTCTTTCAGGGATCCCTTGCAGGAAGGGTTCTATCTAGGGCCCCAAAAAAGCACATAAGCAAAAGGATAGGGATATCCCATATAAACCCCCTTATAATGAAGCCCAATAAGGTAGGGATATCCCCATAAAATGCTTATGCTTACGTGCTTTTTGGGTCCCTCACTATCAGGGGAACTACAGGGGTTAGGGCTCAGCTCGGCACGGGAGACCAAATGATGGCAATGAGGTTTGGATGCGGGGGGCATTCCTTAAACCCTGAACCCTGAAGCCTAACCCGAAGCCGAAGAATGCACGGCAAGAGCTTGTTGGGGTTGGGTTAAACGGTTGGAGTTTAGGGTCTAGGGTACGGTGTTTGAAGCAGGGTGATAGCGGTTGATGGTATAAATCCTGCATTACCTTAAGGACCCTAAACTATGGGAATTATGGTATATTCCTTACTACGGGTCATGCAGGATTTCTATCATCAACCGTAAGATCCTGGAATTTAGGGCGCCAGGGTTCTGTGGCGCTTGAGGCTGCTCTACAAGGCCTGCAACGGATCTTAACTTCAAGGGGGAAAAGGAGGGACCCTCAATGGGGACCCCCACCCTATAATGGGCTATATAATGGGCTATATAATAGCTATATTAAGGGCATATACCTAGGGGTCCTTATTAAGGGTCCCTCCCTTTACCCTCGGAGAACTAACAGGATCGACGCCGGGAAATAGCTCTAATGAACTCACCCTAAAACGCATCAGCCCCTGAACCCCAAAACCCTGAAGAAGCCCTAAACCCTAAAACCCGAAGGCCCTAAAACCCTAACCCTGAGAGCCTACAACCGGATAACCCTAACCTTAAAACTCTACAGTTGCATTGGATGCCGCAGAAGCAGTTTCAGCAGTTCGGCTCCATCCGGGTGTCGGATTAAACATGGCTGGGCTTAGGGTTTTCTTAGGGTTCGCGAGGCGGGGGGGGGGTGGGGTTTGGCAGGCGTAGGAGTAAGACTTTAGGGAATCAAACCGTAGGGTTTAGGGATTAAGCCGTGGGGCTTATGGCTTAGGCGTGGGGTTGAGGGAATACGGTTTTAGGCGGAAGGTTTGGGGATTAAGGTTTTGGGAGTCAGGATTGAAGAAAAAGTCATGCATCAGCTGCAAACCCACTGCCCAGAATGGGCGGATGCGCCACGAATTTCATGGAGCCCTTATGCCCTGACGCTCGAGTTGCTAAGCACGGAATCCGAAGACACTAACCCCTGAATCCACTTACTTAACAGATCCTCTAAGCCCCTCAACCTCTGAAAGAGCTCTACCCTAGGATCATCCCGGGACCCGGAAAATCCCTAAACCCTAAACCCCATTGCCCAAAGGAGCTCTAAGGTACCGCCAACCCAGACCCCTAAACCCTAGACCCCCTTAACCCAAAACAAAATCTGAGATACAGCAGCAACCAAGACAAAACAAAAACGTGCGAAGAGTCTGACTGGGAGCCTTCGGTGCCCTAACCAACGTGTGGTGCTAGAGCGCAGTACTGTATAGACATGCCAGCCCCAAGCCCACCCATGCGCCAAACCAGAGCCAACTAAAGCCAAGCCGAGACAACAGCCAAATGGTACAATTAAAGCACATGAGCATGGGGAATCTCGGTTAACATCAACAGTGGATGCTTTTTGGAGGATTACTGGATGCAGCCGTCAGATGTGTGCGAAAAGGTTAAAGTCGTTACAGTGAACGTTGCCAAAGGGGACGTTCTTGCGCGAAGGGCGTTTTTATCGAAACATGGCGGTTCATGCATGAAACGTGGGTGCCTGGAATTTGCCAGCTAGCCCTCTTGCGGGGCGCCTGCCGCATGAGTTTCAGACCAGAAAGGTCAAGGACGCTAAGGGAAGCTTTGCGAAGGGGTTGTTCTTCGCCGAAGGGCCGTCTCATCGAAACCCATCTGTTCACAAAAAAAACTTGGGCGGCTGGAATCTGTTACGTAGTTTGTGATCTCGTGCAAGAATGTGGTGCCGAATTTTTGACGAAGGACTGGGACAGGTTTTTTCGCCACTAGGAGTTCACGAACATTGGCCTGAATCGTAGCAGCCGGGCAAGCCCGGGAAGGGCCAGAGCTCCAGCAGGGAGCAGGGCCAGGGGCATTTTGGCAACAATTTTTCGGTGACCGCACACAGACTTCGGAACAGCGGCCCATCACAAAAAAAAACTTTACGGGAATACAATAAACAACACGGGACCAAGCTTGGCGACCCCTCCACATGGTCTCGTTGGCGCTCGATGACGTCCGCCTACTCACAGAAGAAGATGGGTGGTGGGCGGTTTGCTTAGGGGCTGCTGGTAGTTTTTAGGGTATAATAAAAGCGGCCGTCATAATCGGACTAGAGTGTTCTGGGTATACCACAGTATGGATATGTACGGACTGAAACAAGATGTTATTGCTGAATGTTCAGACCCGAATGTGAGAAGGGATCCGGAATTCCAGCAGTACCTGGGGTCGAAGAAATTTGGGGGCATGGGACTTCAGGGTACTATATAAGGGTCTGGGCTTCAAGGACCAGCGGAAGGAAAAGGCTGGTGATGGCAGCATTCGCCCCTCAGGCAGGCCTGCATCCTGGACCGTCACTGAGGCGCGCATGAACCCCGGAGAAACTGACTCAACAAGGGGACAAGGCGTTTAGGGTATCAGAACAGGGTTTAGGAACCCTAGGAAAATGTGTTCGGGTGCTGTTTAGGGTTTTGGGTTTAAAAATAGGATTCAAGTCAATTTGGGTGTATGTTCTGCCATGAGTTCACCTCTCCAAGCCGTTCTCCTTTCTGGATCCACTTGCGTCCTAAACCTTCAGGTTAGAGAGGTTTGAGTAGTTGGTAGCGATACGCGAGCTTCCGGACATCGGGAACCCTCATCTAGTACCCTGATATAGTATGATCCTTTTACAAGGACCCCAAAGTAAGGTACCCCCTAGTCTTCGGAATCCTTAAGGGTTTATAGAGTAGAGCCCTTCAAAAGAACCCTTATAGTACCCTTTATAGTAAGCCTTTAGAGGAACCCTAAGGTACCCGAGGTTTGAGAAATTGGTAGCAAGACTGCTTGTTGCCCCCATATCATCGCGAGATCTTCAGAGAAGGAGCCTTTTACTTAGATAAAGACTAGGATGCCCAGTAACCTAGGAATAAAAAGGGCTCCCTTTTTGGTCCTGGGTAACTTTAGAAGCAACCTAGGACTACAAAAAGGGAAAAAGGGCCCACTGGGAGGCCTAGAAGAAGCTACAAGTTTCGAGGTTAAGGGGTTTAGGGTTTAAGGGCTTAGGGTTTAGGGTTTTAGGGTTTAGGGTTTAAGGGTTTAGGGCTTCGGAGTTAAGAGCTTCCTAAGAAATCTCTAAACCCTAAACCGATCTGGCACCTCAGCAACAGGACAGCCTTTTCGCTTCAAACGAATTCGTGGGCACAGATTCGGAACCTGGGTAATGCCGTCTTTACAGTGCTTAGCTTCTACGGCTTCGAGGCTTCTGCTAGGCTTTAAGCATGTACTTCTCCTGTTGCGGCTTCAAGTTTGGGGTTTTGGGCTTTAGGGTTTCTGACACCATTCGGGACTTTCGGGTTTCGGGCAGGGTTGCTTGAACTATTGGGCTGCCCTAGGACTGAAAGTTAAGGCTCCGAGGTTTGAGGGTTGAGGATTGGCAGCTTAGGGCTATTTGAGGTTTAGGGTTTAGGGTTTAGGGTTTGGGGTTTGGGGTTTAGGGTTTGGGGTTTGGGAGGGGCTTCAATGGCTGGTAACGGCCGTTGGACCCAGGCACCTGCCTGCTTAAAACGACACCATCGTTGGCATCTTGATCTTCTTCGTCGCCTTCGGAAATGGCTTGCGGACGCCGCCCTCAAGGACTACGGGCTTGTACCTGAGTCCCGGCAGAAAGATGAAGGCTTGACAACACGTGGGGGTGTGTGTTGTTCAGGACGCCCCAAGACCGAAAACACCAACCTTGACGCGCTAAACCTCAGACCCCGACTCGACCGCACCAGTGCCCCGATCCCCCAATCTCCCTGAACCACAGCTCCTAAACCCTTACCGCAGGGCCCCTTACAGTAACAATTACCTGTACTATTTTGGGTGGCTCCTTGTGATGATTGTAGTAAAAGGCCCCAAACCCGAAGGCCAATTCGGCGCAAAGCTTTGGGTCGTGGAAGGGGGGGAGGGGTCTTGGGTTTTTTAGAACGGGGGAAGGGGGGAGATAATATAGGGGCCGTAAAGATTAGAGTGGGGTTTTGTGGCATATCATGCTATGTCAACCCTGAGGACTGGTACAATCAATGATTCAGGCTTCTTTCTTAGGGTCTTTGGTTTTGGGGGAGTTCGTGGTTTAAGGCTTTGGTGTCTTGCTCCTTTTCTTGAGGGCGTCAAAAAGATGTCCAGGATTCAGTTTGCAGGGTTTAGAGATCCGCAGGCTTAGACCCTAAAACCCAAACCAAACCGGGGCATGTGACATATTATACAGAAGCCTGCATAGCTACCAATCTGATTGCTCAAGGTTCCTGAACATAGCTATACTACAACACAAGCCCAAAGCCCCTGCTCTGGCAATTCAGGATTTGGGTTTAGGGTTAAGGGTTTTGGGGTTTAGGGGTTAGGGGTTAGGATCTCTAATTCGGGTTTAGGACAGCGCGATGTCACAGGGAAGCCAAACTCCAAACCCGAAAGAACCGACCCGAGGTCAAATCCTAAAACCCTCGAATAGGAACCCCAAAGAGCACCAAAGAGCAGCTGAATATGAAAATGAGGGTAGGTGTATGCGTATGCGTATGCGTATGTGTATATTATATATATATATATATATATATATATATATATATTTATATTTATATTTATATATATATATACACATATATATATATATATATATACATATATATATACATATATATACATATATACATATATATGTGTATATATACATATATATGTAACGGATTAACTGAAACTATTTATGGTTTTTGTAGGGCCCGAAAAGACTGTAGATTTCACCAGTTCGTGCTTCTGTGCTTGTCTGCACTCTTAACTGCACCCGAAACCAGAGACTCCGATATTAAGGAATACACCTTAAATCATATTAGGGATCCCTACTATAGTTTGAGGTATATTCCTTAATTAAGCGATACTAGGAGTCTCTGGAAAAAACACATCTCCAAGGCACTGGTCAGGTACGCTGCTGTGCATGACTGGGCTATTCCTGCACACTTCTGGGTGTGGAGATTTCATGAGGAGAGCTTCAGAGCTTTTTTGGGGTTGCACAATGGCTAGAGAAGTTCTGTAGGGCTTCAACTTAAGGGTTTACGGTAAGAGGATCCCCGCACACTTTCCCCCTCCGCGCAAACCCCCCCACTTCGCCGCCCCTTCCTCTCGGAGAAGAATGTTAAACCTTGCCCTGAATTCCCCAAGAAATGCTACCTGTTATGTATGGCAAGATCTAAAGAGCTAGGACCCAGCTCAGCTGCAAACCTTTTTCCCAAACCCTATTGACAAGTAACCCTTCTACTCATATAGAACCCCTAAGGAACCCTTGCCCTTAACCCAAAGCCACATAACCATAAAACCCTCCTTCTAGAACCCCAACAGAAGCCTTTATCGGACCCTTAAGTCAGCTTAGGGCTCCGGGTTTTAAAGATTTAGGATTTTGGGTCTACGGTTTTAAGGCTTAGGATTTAGGGTTGAACGGCTTAGGACTTAGGGTTTACCTTGACCCCCAAAGACCCTACCTACCTTCTTAAGGAGTTATACAAGGAAGCCAGAATAAGGAGCCCTGAAAAGGTAGGTTACTTGGGGTCCAGGTCGGGTTTAGGGCTCCTGTAGCGCTCGATATGCGCAGATTGCCCCTGGAGAGGGCCACTCCAGGTCACGCTGCACACCTTCCAAGTGCGAGGGCTCTGGACCGCTAGTGATTTTCTGTAGTTGAAAGCTTTAGGGCTTTAGGGTTTAGGGTGGAAGGGGTTAGTGGCTGTAGGGGTTTAGAAATTGAGGGTCAGGGTTCAGGGCTCGGGGATTCAAGGGTTTGGGGGTTACTGGCCCGCTTAGATGCACTTCAACCTACCCGAACCTACTTTTTTGATAGGGCCCCTGTAAATTCCACACTAGGGCTGATGACTTAGAACCTACAAAAGTCTGTTCTGGTAGTTTATATAGTCATTAGGATAGGGTTTTGGGGGTACACTATACAATACCTACAATAGGGTATACGGTGTACTACTATATCTACAATAGGGTATTAAACCTACACCAATCCAGTAGTATCGAGTTCTCTGGTGCTCGCCGAGGTTCTTGTTAAGCTTCCCTAAGGATCCCTGGCACCCGGCCCCCTTGAACCACCCTCCCCTCCCCTTTTTCGGTCCCCAAAACCTATTCCCCCCATCCCCTAGTATAGTCACCCCAACAAGCTGGAAACCGGATTAAGGAGAAATAGTGTTGGGAATCCCTATACACTACCTGCACCCTCAGGAACCTACCTTTTTAGGGTTCCCTACTAAGATTTCTTTATATACATCCTTAAAAAGGTAGGTTACGTGGGGTTAAGGTAGTCTTAACGGTTGAGGCTATTGGGGTTTCCAACTTGCGGGCTTCCCCTTTTCAGGATCTTCCAGGATGCGGATATTCTGTAAAGAAAACCCTGATAATGAAGCCCAAGAAGCTCGGGATATCCCTGTAGGATTGGGATATTCTCTAAACAAATCCTAATAATGAAGCCCATAAGGTCGGGATATCCCTATAGGATTGGGATATTCTCTAAAAAAACCTAGTAATGAAGCCCAACAAGGTCGGGATATCCCTATAGGATTGGGATATTCTCTAAAAAACCTAATAATGAAGCCCAACAAGGTAGGGATATCCCTAAACCTTAAACCCTAATATCCCTCTCCCTAAACCCTAAAGCCTAAACCCTAATATCCCTCTAAAACTCGTATGCTGTCTGTCCTTTTTGGGTCCCTCCCTTCAGGATCCTGTAGCGTTCAAGCCTTCAGGATTGAGGGGTCGCCTTCCTCTCAACAATTTAGGATTTAGGGGTTTAGGGGTTTAGGGTTCAGGGCTTAGGGGTTTAGGGTTTAGGGTTTAGGGAAAATCTCCGCACCCCAGACACTCCGAAGATTTTGGGTTTGAGGGCTTAGGGGTTTACGGTGGAGGGCTTTAGGATTTAGGAGTTTAGGGCTTTAGGGTTTTGGGTTTTAAACAGAGTTTCAGGGCTTCAGGCTTAGGGTTGTCTATACAGATGTCAAAGCCACTTTGTGCGACGTCAGCGCCCAAGCCGTGAAGCCCTCCAGCCCCTTCCAGAGAGCGTCAGCAGCCTAAGTGGGAAGTGAGAACTTCGGGTCTTGGACTTGTGTAAGGTTGATGATGGTTTCGGATTTCTTGACTATGACAAAGATTCTCGATTTCACGACTGAAGGGGCTCAGGGACCATACTTTGTTGCTGTAGGGGATATTAGGAGTCTGTATTGGGCCTAGTGCTTAGGGCTTTGGGCTGTCAAGGGTGGCAAACCTGTGACTACAACGACCCTGGTTGACCCGACGGGTCACCTGAACAGCAGATACAGAAATTTCAAATCCCGAGCTCTACTGTAAGCGCTGAACTGTACGCCTAAAGCCCGAAGTCCTGACAAGAGCACCTAAATCTAGACATCCCTGCCTCTAGCCAGGGGCCCTAAACACGGTAGCGCGTGCCTCAATCACCCATGGGGTTTTGGCACGGTCCATGGGTGCGGACGATTTGCAAAAACGCAGTAATTAAACGTGGGGTTGTGTGCACTTCTTTGACGAAAAGGTTTGCTTTGGATGCTTAGAAAGTACCGTGCTTACTACGGCTTTGTGTGTCGAAGCACGAAAGCACCAGCCCCAATGGGAGATTCAAAACCTCGCGAATGCGAATTATGCAGCCGGCCTTTTTTCTTAAAAACCTTCTATGGTGTCCTGTCCATTTGGGGGCTGCTGACAGCTGCTTTGGAGTATTGACACGGCACACAAAGGAAAAGCTCATGATGACGACGAAGATGCAACTGTTGATGATGTGAAAGTACTGTTCTCACCAGTTTGTGCCAAAGCACGATGATGATGATGGCCTGCATATTGATGGTGCTCACGGGGGATGGTGGCGAAGTGGACGTCATTACCCCACACCCCCCACACCCCCCCACACCCCCACCCCCGCCCCACACCCCACCCCAAACCAGAAGCCTTAAACCCGCAAAACCTGCCAAGACCCCATGGTCATTAAGGCGCGTGAGCCTAAACATGGGTCGTCATCTAAATCATGGCCGGGATAGGATGAAAGATGTATTTGTTTATTCTTTGTTGGGTCTAAGTACCCATAAAACTGTAAAATGCTACCCAACTATGACAAAGTAATTTTCTCAGGGTCGAAAAGTAGGTGTCTTTGAATCAGATCTGGTGGTTCCCGCATCAACTTTACTCCGTCCTAATCCATGTTCCAACTTTCTCTAGACTCTAAACCCCTAATACATCATCCTTGATAGCTATACCTGCTACTTCTTCGGACTTTGATTCTTAGGGCAAAACCCTGAACCCTCACTCAAACCCTGCGGGTTTTGAGAGACCGGCCTCCGCATCTACCATGTTCACGAAGGCATAACCGAGGTTCCTGAGCACTAGGCTGCAAGACTCCGGGCTCCACCGCTGGGATCGTAGCATTCAGGGTTTAGGGTGTAGGGCTTAGGGTCTATATGACTATATAACCACTTGTCCTTATTTGGGATATTGAGCACTTGGTTTAAGGCTTTGGCGGATTGGGCGCATGGGTAAGGGTAAGGGATCGGGAATTTAAGAACTCGGATTTGCGGATTCAGGGCACAAGGTAACCAGGTAGCTAAGGATGTCATCGGCGGAGAATGACCCTGAAATCAACACCCACATTCACACGCATATAGAAACACTGGGAACTAGTCTGCCATGCTTGTGAAGTAGATCCTTTGATTTGGGTTTCTGGTGTCGAGCTTTGGGTTTCGGGATTACGGTGCAGAACTGAAGAATGCGTGTTCTGACCTTTGGTTAATAGGGAGTGGAAGAATGGTAGTCATACTAGTTATAATTGTACCCCATTCCTCCATTCCCTACTAACCAAAGGTAAGTATTTGGATTGAGAGGCTCGGTTTCAGGGTTTGGCGGTTCTGGCAGCGTGCTCGGCAGTGCATATACAAAGCTGTAACTAAGACAAAAGAATCAAGCCCTAAACCTTCAAACCCTACATGCACCCTGGACGGCCCTAAGCGTGGACAGTTTCATCCTGATTCTCATTGGCACCATGCCTACTTGAAGGTTCATGGGACTTAGTAAGTACAGTTATAGGTACCTTAACTGGGGATATAACCAATTATAAGTACAGTTACCTTATTTATAACCCATGTTACTAAGTACCATGAACCTCTAAGTATGCTCGGTGTAGCGGATGAGCATCAGTGCGATGGGTGGTCGGAGGCAGAGCAGTAGTTACAACAAGGAAGGAACATGATCATCGTCATCGCAAGCATCCCCAAAGAAAGACATAAACCCAAACCCCATCGTAGCAGCAACCACCGCAACAAATCGAAAAATGCCGGAAAATTCGGCACTGTATCCCCTTCCTTCCCTGACACCCTCGTCTCCCCTACTACCCGGGTGTCGGATTTATGAGTTTTGCAGCATTCGGAAGGTAAAGCAAAAAGCATTGCGAGTGGCATCGTCTCTTCGTCTTGAACGATTGGGTGCAATTTCCTACTTGTCGGGTATCATGGAGAACTAAAGGTTAAGCTTTTTGGTTATATAGGGACTATACTACCCAAAAAAGGCTAAAGGTTACCTACTCTACTACTAGGGTTTTAAGGGCCCAAAAAGCACATAAGCATAAGCATGTGATAGAGATATCCCCACTTATTGGCCTTCATTATAAGGGGATTTATACAGTGTGCTTCCTTCCCAGAATCATGACGCGCTCAGTGAGGGTCTGGGGTCTAGGGCCACAAAACCGGGAAGAAAAACCCTAAACGCTAAACCCTCAACCCTAAACCCCAAACTGCCGAAGCACGCATCGCGACGGAAATCGAAGGGAAGGTATACAAAGTCGTAGCTGCCTGGTCCAGAGCTGAGGGCTTCCTGCTGCCTAATACAAGGGCCTTAATAATTAGAGTAGGGTTTTGGGGTACCGTAGTCTGGGGGCCTTAATAATTAGAATAGGGTTTGGGGCCCATTATACTAAAGACTCCCGCAAAGCCCCTTTAAGTAGGGATCCTGTACTTGAAGGATCAGGGGACTTGGCGGGCTCTATGTTGGGGTACTTGGAGGTTCATGGGCAGTTATAAGGGGTTCCTTTAAGGGTCCCTTTAAAGGGATCTATAGGGCTTCTATGAAGGTATAGGGTTTAGGGTCTCCTTGGAGGTTCATGGGTAGTTATAAGTAGAGTTATAAGTAGGGCAACTGTACTTATAACCCATATTAGGGGACTTATAATTACCCATGAACCTCCAAGTAGGGCTTAGGGTTCCCCACCCTGATTCCTAGGCTGCACAAGACACAAGACCCAATCGATCGACCCTGAACCTGAGCGCCCAGCCTTTGCAGAATCTCAGAAAGGCTTCAGAAACAAAACCCACAAGCTCCCATTCAACAGGGCTACCAAGGGGGATCCTGGTACAACCCTACCAGCCAGAATCCCAACCCCAACGGCGCATCTAGATTCAACCCACTGTAGGTCGGTCCTGCAAAGCCACGCTTGTCTAACATCGCGAGGAGCATGTCCCGTGAATAGTTGTTGGGTAAGTTGCGCAGCATCACCTCGGAGATCGGGTTTAGGGCTTGGGCTTTCGGCGGTTTCGGGCGTAGGGTTTACCTCAACCCCAAATGACCTACCTTTTTAGGGACTTATATAAGGAAATCATAATAAGGAACCTGCTTTGAATTCCAGGTAGGGCTTCAGGGATGGGCTTCAGGGATGGGCCTGCAGCCTTCCAGATCGCAGGTTGATTGACTCATGCAGTTGCACTGATTCAATAACCTTATCTCGCGCACACACAGAACGTAACAACCGGGATAGGGACCCTGAACCCTAAACCCTAAAACCTAAGCCTACATGATAGGAGGCGAAGGCTCGGGCTTGCGCCATGGGCCCCCTATCCAGCTCTTCCTCGTCGAAGGCCGTGGTGAGCCTAGCCAGGTAGCGCTTCTCATCCTCGTGCAGCAGGGGCCGCCTATCCACACAGCACTCGACGAGCGGGCCCACTATCTTTTGCATATCGTGGAACCATGTGTCCCTGACCTTTGCTAGCCGCTTCGCTAGCCTGCATGGAGCTGAGATGTATTGCAAAGCATCCAGCGTCCAGATCAAATCAGCAGCGAGACCCGCACAGCACTTGCGAGGCAAGTTTTGGGGCTTAGGGTTTAGGGTGTAGTATAGGGTCTAGGATCCTGAGTAGGCCCTTAGTGATAAGGGTACCCTTTTTCCTGCGTTTCTTTGGAATTAATCAGGGAATCCGAAAAGAAATGGGCAAAAGGATACTACTCAGGAACCAGTATGACTCGCAGTAGACCCGATACATCCTACCGGATTGCCTCAAAGATTGCCACAATGATATAAGGGCCTAGATAACTAGAATAGGGTTCCTTTGAAGGGGTCAAAAAGGGTTACTATAAGGGATCTATAAGGGGACGGTAAAATAGGGCCTTGAAGGAACCCCCAAATTCCTGCTTGCTCCTGCAAGTCTAGAGAGGCTACTCTACCCGAATCCATGCACGATCAGATGACCGTTTTGTCGCAGCCACTTCCCACGTGTTTAGGCAAGACCTTCTAAATCACAATACGGTTCCTCACGAAGCCCCCAGAAAACAATTTGTAAGCAGACCCTTTTGATTCCCGAGAAAAGGCTGCTTTTAGGGTTGCTGGGCATAGCGAGCCTCGAGCCGACGCCCTACTTTGCACCCCTTGCTTCCATGGGTTTAGGGTTTAGGGTTATATGCTCTTACTCATCCCGAAAAAACACTAAGAAACCCTGGACCTTGTCTAGAAGAAAGCCCTGCCAAATCCGTCTCGGAACCCCCCCGTTTTGGGAAACCTACAGGAACCCTGAACCTTCGTGTTAAAGCTCCAAAACCGGAAGACCCGGCAAGGTGTTTCATCATGTTTCCTTCAAGAAACAGGTCCGAAACTGGTATTCAAGTATGAAAGTAATGTAGGAACCTTGGGGTTCTATAAGGGTTCCGTTAAAGGGACTATAAGGGTACTATCAGGGTCTTGAGGGTTTGATGTAGGAACCGGATTAGGAAATCTTGGGCCTTTATTACGTAGGGCTCCTTATGTGAATCCTACTATGTTGGTGTTTTAGGCCCAGGGTTTCTTCATGAGGTTCCTACATTACCACAGAACCCAGCATGGAACTTTACACCTGAAAAGAACACAAGGGAACCCCAAAATTTGCATACAGCCAGGACGCAGTTGTCTTTCCGGTCGGCTGCGGCGCCTCCAATGGCAACCGTGGGCTTTGGGGCTTTAGGGTTTAGGGTTTATGGGCTTAGGGTTTAGGGCTTCGTATTCGGGTTTAGGACCAGGGGTGTCGCATTCGAACTTGGGGGGTCTTAATGAAGAGCACGTTGTAAAAAGCACGCAGGCACCCAACTTTAACCGTATTATCCCCGCCCTGGCTAGCGCTCCACCCTAACAGTACTGCAAGCGTGACTGTAACTATAAGGGTTCTTTACGGGCTACTTTCACCATCACCCAAAACTCGACCTTTCTCTGACCCACTTTGGTTTCCCATGCTTTGGGAGTCCCAGGCTGTTCAGGGCTGCGAGTTTCGTGCTTCGGGTTCAAGGTCTATGGGAGATGGACAGAAGGACCCCAACAAAACGACGAACACAGAAGCCTTCATGAAAAGAAAGAAATGACCCAAATTGCGGGATCCAAACAAAAAACGACTCAACCCTAAACTAAAACTAAGCCACCCCCGAGCCCCTGTGTCCTAACCCTAAACCCTGAACCACAAACCCCACACCCAAATACCTTAGTGACACACCCTAGTATAAAGAAAGGTCTTAATCATGAGACAAGGGTTTTGGAGTCTTGGGTTATTCTGTCTATTGTAACACGGAGGAGCCCTAAATCATGTTGGTAAGTATGTCGGCAAAGGCCTTTTCTAGATCACACAACTATCGACTGCTGGGCAGGTCCACAACGGCCTTGCGCGGGCTTTGGGATACCTTGGTATGAAGCTTCTTCCTACGCTTCACAAAAACCCCCAACTAAACCCTAAACCCTAAACCCTACTAAACCTTAAACCCCTAACCCTACTAAACCCTAAACCCTAAACCCTACTAAACCCTAAACCCTAAACCCTACTAAACCCTAAACCCCCAACCTTGAACTTCTAGTTGCTTGAGCCCCGGGAGTCCTAGAAGGATTGGTATCTTCCGCTTATGACTTTGACTAGACTAAGCTCTCTGGGCTCGACTTGCCTGGTATAGGGGCACAAGTAATGACTTCTCTCATGTTGGGGATTCCTTATGTAACTATAATAAAACATGCACCAAAGCACTGTTCTAGTTAATGAAGCCCCTACAATCTGATTTTATCGTGTCTTCCTGCTCGCCCCTCCATGCCGAAAAGCCCACACCCCAAGCTTGCACAGGGATTTTCACAACACGCACAGAGAGCCCAAGCCACTTTTCTAATTGAGACAAGATACATCATAATGCAGATCCTGCTGCACATACCAGAGGTCATGCTAAAGATCCCTGCGCAATTTAGGGGACCGTTTTTCTTTACGTGTGATTCGGCTTTCTTTCCCGGAAGCCTGCCTTATCCCTCTGAACCTTAGATGGACCCTATAATAGGATCAGGGCTCAGGGAAGCTTTGGACGTCTGCTTCTAGACCCCTAACTCTAGGCTACAGAGCAGTCGAGAAATGCACCGAATCCAAAACTCCGCTTCTCGCAATTCTCTTCTCGCCTGCACGGCTGCTGGCGGTTGCGTGCTTCGGACGGCTGTACCTCCGCGATGGATTATACTTATGCCCATTTGCTCCTTTCTGTAGTTGCTGTACTCACCGTTGAAACGTGCCTCTGTCTGTGTGTGTGTGTCTCTGTCTGTCTGTCTGTGAGTTCTATCGGGTTTGCTTCTTCAAGCTGGATCGTCTGCGTACAATCTGTCCTTCTCCTGTTTGCCTGTCTCACGACTGTGTCATCATCGATGGCAGCTGCTGGTGCATCGAGTAGTAGTGGTAGTAGTAGTAGTAGTAGTAGTAGTAGTAGCAGCAGCAGCAGCAGTCGTTGTGGTCGTCGTAGTAGTAGCAGTAGAAGTAAGCAACTCCGTCTATGCCGAGGAGCATGGTGCCGAGGGTTTCGTAGCCTTGGCACCCTGTGAGTGAAGCTTTTCAAGACCTGGGAATGTGTTGGGGTTGGCTCAGGGTTTTGAGTGAACCCAAAAGCCCTTTCTGCAGGGGAAGGACGTCCTAGTACGTGCAATATGGAGGTTGGAGTAAACAGTGCCCCCTCAAAGTCCCTGTATGACTATACTACTGCACCATTATACACCAAAAAAACCCGTTCTAGTCATCTCCCTTTTCCTGCCAAAATCCGGACTTTCAGTGGGTTCCAGGTATGGCTACGGCCCCAGCCTACACATGCTAAACTTCTACACTCGTAAACTCCGAAACTCAGACCCTAAAACCCCAGACCCCTACGCCCCGAAAAAAACTCCGCTGAAAAGTAACAGTACACAAGCCTAAATCCTAAACCACCCCTGCAAGCTCTGAAAGTTTAGCACCCGAAAGCCGAAGCCAACCCAAAAAAACGCAAAAAACCCTAAACCCCAAACCCTATCTCTCAAAGCTTAGGAGCCCGAAAGGCGCAAGCTGCTGAGCTCTCCTGGCTCATAGCTCCGGGGATCATAGGCCTCGGGGCAGATTCCAGTGTCTCAGGGATTAGGGTTTAAGGGTTTAGGGTTTAGGGTTGAGGGATTTAGGGGTTTAGGGCTTTAGGGGTTTAGGGTCTAGGGTTTAGGGGTTTAGGGTTTAGGGCTCTAGGGGTTTAGGGCTTTAGGGTTTAGGGTTTTGGGTTAAGGGTTTAGGGTTTAGGGTTTAATTAAGGGCTGATGTAGGGAACTGGGACTATAACTCCAAAATAGTAGGATTCACATAAGGAACCCCAATATAGTAAACTCCATAAAGTTGGAAACCGGATTAAGGCCAAATAGTGCTGGGATTCCCTATGCATTACTCTTAAGGATTGAGGCTATTGGGTTTCCAGCTTTTTGGCTTCTACTGTATGCGCCCAAGGTTTCTTAATCAGGTTCCGACATGAAGGGTCTTAAGGGCTACCCTAAACCCTAAACCCTAAACCCTAAACCCCAAACCCTAAACCCCAAACCCCAAACCCTAAACCCTAAACCCCAAACCCTAACCCTAAACCCTAAACCCTAAACCCGCTTGCGGTTTGAGAGGTTCGGGGCTCGGGCTTGCGGTTTGGGTTGTTAGGGGCTCGGGACCAGTTAGGGGCTAGGGTTTTAGGGTTCAGCGGTTTAAGGACTGGGTTCAATGCTTATGTCGGGTTAGGGTTTAAGGGTTGGGGTTTTAAGGCTTAGGGGTTATGATGCTTACTTAGGGTTACGGTCTAGGGTTGAGGCTGACGGGGCTAGGGTTTGGGTTTTGGATTCAGGGGCTAGGGTTTCCTGGGTTTTGCAAGGATCCATGGGGGTTCTTCTAGGTGTTGAAGGTGCTTTTGGAAAGTGAAGCTTTGCTGAAGGTTTAGCACTCTTGTGGTGGCAATAGAGGGGTGGGAAGAAAGACTTAAGGGCTTGTCTAGGGCTTAGGCCTTCCCAAAAGCCTAGTTGCTTTGCTTTCAGGGTTCCGTGCTTGTGTAGGGCTGCAGAAGAAAAGTGTAGTATGGTTGTTTCGGGTGCTGTAGAAATTCCATGTTCTGTAAGGGTTGAAACATGCCTTTACAAGGGTTTGAAGGCTGTAGCGCGAGGCTGACACGGGGCCTGTACCTCATCAAAGTGGTAATTACATGCTGTTGTTTAGGGTTTGTTTTGGAGTTCAGGGCTTTAATATAGGGGCCTTAATAATTAGAATGGGGGCCAATTCAATTGTACCATAATTATAGGAAGAAACCCCCCCAATAGGGTTGGTAATTATTTAAGCCCCTGTATGAGAACTTCACAGTGGGCTTCAGGGCTGCAGGGAAGGCATGGCTTGTAGGGCACAGAGCTTTCTCTTTAGGGTTTCGAGTCCGCGTGCTTTCTCTTCGGGGTTGCAGAACTTTGAAGACAGAAGGGTCGGAATTTAGGATTTAGGGGTTTAGGATTTAAGGTTTAGGATTTTAAGGGTTTAGGATTTTAAGATTTAGGGTTGGGGATTTCAGGGTTCCTGTGGTTTGGGATTCAAGACTAGGGGTTTGGGCTTTTGATTTAGGGCTGGGTGCTTCATGAAAGAAGGGCGTCGAGGATCTAGGGGTTCCTACGGATCAAGCTTGTCGGATCACTAGCAAATCCCGAAAGCCACACAACTCACCTGGAGGATCTGAAGTAGGTATGAGCAACAGAACTCGAATTTATTGCGAGGAAGCCTCAGGAAATATACCCGAAACCCTTATCCTTGGCCGGGGTGCGCCCTTCCATGGAAGGTCTGACTGTGTGCGCCGCAGCGTTCGGTAGCGCTGCTGTAGAAACTCCTCCCAAAAAATGCGTGGCTTGGGGCTTAGGCTACAGCTTAGTGGAGGTTAAGTCTTGCCACAGAATAGCGTTGAGGCTACAGTATCTTACGACAAGGAAATGTCGAGTGCATCGTACTATGACGACCAGCTCTCAAAGCATATCTGCGAAAGGATTGAGCTTCTCTCTCCACCTCCCGGCGCCGTCTAACGCGGCCAAGCCACCTCCATGTAGAGTTTAACCCTAAACTCATTCAATATTCAGGCCCCTATGTTTTGGACAAGATCAGTGGCCGGAGCTGCCTCTTAAAATGGCCTGTTTGGATAGTGTCCCGGGGGTCTTGAGGACTGGGGATGTCTCGGGACGGATTTACGGTTTGGGGTTTAGGCTGGTGGGATTGTCTCACGAGGCTTTCGCGGGGTGTTCAATAAACTAGGGTAGTACGGGGGGCTTGAAATGAACGTTATATTTCCAAACCAGCTGAACCCGAGGACCCTAAAACCATGACCCTAAACCCAAAGGGAAAGTCTTGGGGTGCATCGAATCGTGAAAAAATGGGGACCCTCTGAGAAGAAGACCCCGAAATAAGGCGCCTCGAAGTCTTGAGAGAGCCCCTTTAAAGCATCTGTTGAGAGTTCATTAAAAGCCCTGTGCCACGTCAACAGACCCTAAACCTGAAGACCCGACGACCCCATGAGACCTCGAGCCCCAAAGCCCCGCACAAACCCGTCATCTGCAGCCTGGCTCGAAGTTCATAGCACTTGCCTTGAAACCTCTGTGTACACCCGAAGCCCCCGAAATCCCAACCATATAAAATTTATTAGTGTTATAATATGTATATATATATATATGTATATAGAGAATTATAGAAGGCCCCCGGAACTGAGCCCCACATTGAGTGTCCAGGAGTCCTCCTCCAAGTCCAGGAAAGTGCTCCGGACAACAACCGAACTTAGATGGGTTGTAGTTCTGGATTTGTTTTGAGCTTCTTTTTGATGCCTGCTTGCCGTCCCGAAGTCTGACAGACACACACACACACACACATACACACACCAAGGCCTAGTTCTGGGGTTTAGGGTTTACGGGCCCTGTTAAAGTAGTTCCCTAAGGGTCCATGTACCCAAATAGTATATACATTGGCCTTAAAGTACTCCCTATAGAAGTACATTGGCCCCAAAGTAAACACTACATGGACCCTGAGGGGTTCTGGTAGCTGACCCTGAAACCTCTAAGGGAACCAAAAAAAAAGCTGACAAAAGCTTCCCAAAGTGCCACCTGAATATTCAGGCCCCTATAGTATCATCCCATCTTATAGGGCTTTAGGGCTTTAGGGATTAGGGGTTTTGTCGTCTTGGGGTTTTGTTGTTGAGGGTTTGGTGGTTTTATGGGCTGCGAGGATTTGGGGCTTCATGGTTTAGGCTGTAGGGTTGAGAGCTTATGGTTGAGGGTTTAGGGGTGGGTTTAGGCTGTAGGGTTGAGGGCTTAGGGATTATGGTGTAGGGTTGAAGGATAGTTTACACTGCAAGGATTGCTACAGTTTTCCGACGATGCAGGCTGTCACTGCCAACGCTTGTTCAGTAAGGGCCATCTTCGTCGCAGCCAATGCTTGCAGGGCTAAGCCTACTCTAAGCTCTTCTTGCTTTCCTATCTGGTTCTCCTTTACGTGCTCGGTCTTGTCGTTGACAACTCCGAAAAAATACATCAACCTAATTGAAGCTGCGCTACACCGGGAATCAGGAACTCTCTGAACCTGTCTGACTCCACTGCGGTTTTGGGGTGTGGTATGGGAATACAAGGAGATTTTATGCTTGATTGATACTTCAGACCCCAATACTGCATATTTCTCCAAGTGGCTGCCTCCTCTCCTGTGCCGGGGCGCCCCCTTCAGGCCGCGGCGAGGCCCAACAACAGGAGGTTGCCTGGGCACTTAATCAGACGCATTGTTTGAGACATCATGGTGCCAACCTATACCCTGAGCCCGTACACCGGACACCCTCTACCCTGAAACTCATAAACTCGAAACCCTTAAAAACAAAATAGCAGTCCAGGACTGTGAATGCAATATCTGAACCCTAAAACCCTCGCCCCAAACCCTAAAACTCTACAGACCCTAACAACTCTCAAACCCGGCACCATACCAAGAATAACATCGGTGAACCTTTCATCGTGAGATCACCCGCTGTGCCCCAACTTCAAGCAGTTTGGGTCCCCTCCATGCACTGTAGGGGCCTTAATAACTGTTTTTTTTTTTCAGGGTTTAGGGTTTGGGGTTTAGAGTGCAGGGTTTTGGGTTTTGAGCTCAGGGTTCAAAGCCTGGGGTTCAGAATAGGGTTCCTTTTAAGGATTCTAGAACAACTCTAATACTTAGACCAAAGGTTTTTCTGCTTTAACATATAAGGAACCATAAGGAATCGGGGTTTTGGCCTCGGGGTTTAAGCTAGACGGTTTAGGGCTTAGGCATTCGAGTCCGCAGGGTCCTCTATCAGAAAACCTACCGGCATGGCCTGACCTCGATGCTTTCGGCTTCAACCATTTCAGTCCCAGCCACTTGGAGGTTCATGGGTAGTTATAAGTGGAGTTATAAGTCCCCTAATATGGGTGATCATTATGGTTACCTTACTTATATTATAACTAACCATGAACCTCAAAGCAGCCCTTCACCCGAAAATCTGAAACCCAGACCCTCTCAACCCTAAACCCCGGACCCTCTCAACCCAGCCCTACATGAAGGATCCTCTTGACCCTAAGCCCTAAACCCTCAAACCCCTCATTTTTCAATAGCCTGGGGGCCCCAAGAGGTCAAAAAGCGCGCTCGTGTCTTCAAGAGCTCCGAGGCGCTGTTTCAGAACCTAAAACCCCGAACCCCAACTCCGCCAACCCGGAAACTGGTTTAAGGTTTAGGGTTTAGGGTTTAGGGTTTAGGGTTTAGGGCTTAGGGTTTAGGGTTTAGGGTTTAGGGTTTAGGGTTTAGGGTTTAGGGCTTAGGGTTTAGGGTTTAGGGTTTAGGGTTTAGGGTTTAGACTTTAGGGCTTAGGGTTTAGACTTTAGGGCTTAGGGTTTAGAGTTTAGGGCTTAGGGCGGAACTGTACAGTCTGTCTCCTGAACCTTAAACTCCTGAACCCCAACCCTGAACCATCAGGCCTCCCTAATGAGCCCCTTATCAAAACCCCTTAGGAACCAAGAACCCTTTGGAACCCAGAAAGCCCAACAGAGCCCCTAAACCCTACACCCTCACGCCAAAACTCTGCACCCTAAACCCTAATCCCCTGAACCCTCTAAGTAGACCCTAAACCCTAAACCCTGTAGATCCCATGAAGGAACCCTATAGATCCCTTCAAGGAGCCCCTAAGTAACCCCCCAAACCAGAGCCCTCAAACCCGAAATCCGAAGATCTGCCTGGGGGGTCTCGTCGTCGCTGCGCTCCGAAGGCAAGGTAGTCTCTCCTCCGGCTCGAGGGTTTAGGGTCCTTAACCTTAGGGCTCTTAGGGCTCTTAGGGCTCTTAGGGCTCTTAGGGCTCTTAGGGCTCTTAGGGCTCTTAGGGCTCTTAGGGCTCTTAGGGCTCTTAGGGCTCTTAGGGCTCTTAGGGCTCTCAGGGTCCTTAGGGCTCTTAGGGTCCTTAGGGTTTTTGCCAAGTTTAGGGGTTCAGGGCTTAGGGTCCTTAGGGCTCTTAGGGCTCTTAGGGCTCTTAGGGTCCTTAGGCCCTTAGGGTCCTTGGGGTCCTTGGGGTCCTCAGGGTTCTTTTTTTAGGGAGGCCCCGCGCGCTCTGTGCGTGCGCGCTTTGGCGCCAACTCGAAAGACGATTTCCGCAACTTCTTCTGTACTAAAACGTACTTCGTGTTAGGGCGGTTGCGGTGTGGTTCCAGCATTCTGGGAAGTTCAGTTTGGTCTGGACTTCTATCCAATAGGGGAACTGCATGCCTCTTCTAAGCAAAACGAGGCTCCTCAAATGATTATGGCTCTTGGGTGAGGTTGTGTCATAAGGGCTTGGGTTTAGTAGGGAAGCTTAGGGTTTTGGGAGCTAATGGACCGAGTGGAGTTTAGCTGTGGCTTGGGTTCTTACACGGGTTCATTGGGATTGAAGGACTGAGAATGAGTACAGCTTTAGGGCTGTGGGCTTCCTCCCTCGTCTTAAACACAACCACGCAAAAGTCAACAACCCCGACTTGTCGGCCAAGCTGTACAGGATTGCAGCACTCATCTTTCTTGTTTCGGCTTCCAAGTTCTTAGGGTTTTCTACTGCGGATGTTGGAAACCTGAATATCGGCGCAAGTTGGCCAATCGTGGCAAGGGCACGTGTGGAGTTTGCGAAAACATTGGGCTCCGTGTCGCCCTGCTTCAGCTTCACTTCGCAGAACTTGATTGAAGTGATGTGCGAAAGACGTTGCTTAAGGTCGCCGACGATGGAATCCCAATCCATGTCGAACGACAGTCGCAACCCCTCAGGGTTCTTAGGGTTTAGGGTCCTTAGGGTCCTTAGGGTCTTCAGGGTTTAGGGGTTTAGGGTCCTTAGGGCTCTTAGGGTCCTCAGGGTCCTTAGGGCTCTTAGGGCTCTTAGGGCTCTTAGGGCTCTTAGGGCTCTTAGGGTCCTTAGGGTCCTTAGGGCTCTTAGGGTCCTTAGGGTCCTTAGGGTCCTTAGGGTTTGGGGGTTTAGAGTTTAGGGTCCTTAGGGCTCTTAGGGCTCTTAGGGTTCTTAGGGTCCTTAGGGTCCTTAGGGCTCTTAGGGTTCTTAGGTTTCTTAGGGCTCTCAGAGTTTAGGGTTTAGGGCTTAGGGTCCTTAGAGTGCTTAGGGCTCTTAGGGTTTAGGGGTTTAGGGTTTAGGGTCCTAACTTAGGGTCTTTAGGGTTCTTAGGGTTCTTAAGGCTTAGGGGTTTAGGGTCTAGGGCCTAGGGCTTTGGGGTTAGAGTTCGGGGCCTTGGGTTGTATGGTTTGGGTTTAGATACCGAGGGTTTTAGGGCTGCTTTCACGCTGCCTTGAGGGTTGTTGGGGGTTGGTGCTAGAGTGTCTGAACGAAAAGCCGAAGTTCAAACTCTAAATCGTAAACCCGAACTCCGCAATCGTAGACCCTAAATTCTCTAACGCAGGGCTTTGGTATCATATAGTACAGCTATTGAGGAACATTCTATCATGGCGGTAGGGCCTCGAATTTAGGGCTTAGGGTTCGCATCCTCGGGTTCACGCGCATGCAAACGGGCAAAGAACGGGGGAGACCTCAGCTGCCGCCCCCATACAGTACCAGTCTGTTTCAGAGGGCTACATTCAGGGCCTTATAGAACACTTATATATCTATACTATAAACAATTATTCAACTGTTACTCAGTGGGGGCAGCATCCAAGTCCGGTATCATACAGTGACAATGTCCTGAAGAAGTAGGCTGAGGTGTCGGGGCGGCTGTACAGTACAAACGTATGCGAAGGCACCGCGCGCAACAAGCTTACTACTTGTGGAGGCTTCCATGTCTTTCGAGCTCAAAACTCTAGATTTCAAGATACAGGGTTATGCCATGTAGAACCAAAGCCCTTCAGGCAGTTAGAACACTGTAGCTGTAAGTACGGTCCGTAAAGAACACTCCTGGTGACGGCGTATCCGTATTGCAGAAATCCTTGAATCGGAATTCTCGTCACGTCTAGCCAAACCCTGAACCGCGACTTCTCTAGATTTTAGGTGTTATAGAAGTGTTCCTACGGTTGATGATATAAATCCTGCATGACCCAGAATAAGGAATTTACTATAATCCCCATAGTTTGGGGCCCTTAAGGTCATGCAGGATTTATATCATCAACCGTACTCTAAAACACTTTCTTTGAACCGTATCAACCCGGGACTCCTTCGCTGTATCCGTCGGAAATGGTCTTGCCTCGGTCGGCACTTCTTTCTGAGGCTGGAGGTCTAAGGTATGTTCTCCAACCCTTCATTAAGGGGCCTTTGCAATTCGAAAAGGGTCTTGCGTATATAATGGCATAACTATATTGAGGAAACCTAAGGACCCAGTCTTAGAGAATTACGCAGGCTCTTATATCAGTGTCCCTTGTTTCGGCTAGCCATTGTTAGTTCCGGAGCGAAAACACTAATGCTGCGGGCACCTCCCATGAAAATTATTGAAATAATTGAAATAAGCCCGATCTCAAGTATTTCAATCATGTCAAGTATTTCAGTTAGTTCAATGATTTCAAGTATTTCAAGTAGAAATCCTGGAAACCCAACTTGGGAATGGCAACTGGCCAAAGACCCCTTCCGGGCGCTTGCATGGCCCTCCGGCCTCTGGAGTTTTGCGGTTTGGGGCCTTTCGGCCCGCAGGGCTTCCCAGAGACTCCAATATCCCGTAATCTAGGAATATACATTAAATCGTAGTAGGATCCTTAATAAGATTTAAGGTATATTCCTTAACTACGGGATATTGGAGTGTCTGGGTTTAAGGTTGAGGATTTCGGATGTTGGAAATGTCTGAAAGGGAAGCCAAAGAGGGAGCTCGAGGGCTCCAGCTCTGGGAAATCGGGGTCGACTTGATTTTTCCCAGAGACTCCAATATCCCTTAATTAAGGAATAGACCCTAAATCTTATTAAGGACCCTACTATGATTTTTGGCATATTCCTTAATCAAGGGATATTGGAGTCTCTGGGTTCGCAATTTAGGGTTAGCTTTGGGTTCAAAACCATGCTGCAGAAGGGGGAAGACCTTCAGAAAACAAGAGAACCTCAATGCTATACATGGTACATGACATCCTGTTACCTGCTTGTCGATGAGCGGCTGCAGCATAGGAAATTCCAGAGAAACTCGCAGAAACTTCAAAGATGCAAGAGCTTAACCCAACTATATAAACCTTAAATTCCAAGCCCTACGCCCTAATCCCTAAACCACGCCACTCTGTGCATAAATCAGGACCTGCTCATGAAGTCAAGCTGCTCACAAAGTCTCCAAAATCCGCTGCCATTGTGGAGCAGATCGATCAGCGCACGCAAATTCTAGACAAGGGGGGGTGCGCTGGGAGAGGAGACCGCTTGAGCCTGGAAAATGCATGGTTTAGCTCTTGAAATCAGGCTTTAGTCTCTGCGGATGAGGGCTCAGGGCGGTTCCAAGGTTTTGGGTTTAGGGTTTAGGGTTTAGGGTTTAGGGTTTAGGGTTTAGGGAAATGGTCCGACAGACGAAAGGGTTTTTCTTTCAGTGTAAGGCTTGGCGTCGAAGATAGGGGCCTTAGTAATTAGAGTAAGGTTTTGGTGCCCCTTAAACGGTACTAAAACAAGGAACCCCCGAAATACTATTGGTAATCATTCAGCCCCCTCTAGTAGGGCGTTTACGGTGTCAGACTCTTTTGGTTGGGTTCGAGATGTATGAATACCCGTCGCTGGTGCCCTTTTCAGTGTGCGACATGCAGAAGCCCCTAGGCGTCTGGGGTGTGCTACATCTAATTAGCTCTTAGATCTGGTCCAAAGGCTGTGGAGTACAGCCTTCATGGCAATACGGTTGATGATATAAATCCTGCATGACCCGTAATAAGGAATATACCACAATTCCCATAGTTTGGGGCCCTTAAGGTATTGCAGGATTTTTATCATCAACCGTAAGTCGCGCTTCTGTCTCGAGCCTCGAGCTGTACGTGCGAGGCCAAGATCAGGTTCTGTACATGCGCTGAGCTCGAAGGTCCACATGGAGAACTTCACAGGCTCATTCAGGGATTGGGGGCCAGCAGAGCGTCTAAAAGAAGTTGAGCATAAAAGGCTGGCCTTTTCGCCAGGAAAGCACTCGCTGCACCTGAGCTTGTTACGCATTTCGTTTGGGCAGAGCTGCTCTGCTGCAACTATACATAGAGAGACTATCAGAACAACTCTAAGCTCTATATCTATGATCAACAACCATATGTATCTGTGCATTCAGATGTACACATATACATGGCAGGGGAAAGAGGGAGGGAGGGAGGGAGAGAGTGAGAGAGAGAGAGACCCTGAACTTCTCCCCGGATGTTCTCGTTGCCGACCAGGGCGCGCACGTGCGCAAGCTCGGAATTAGCATCCGGCGGTTGGCGCCTTGATTTTCCTGGTAGGCCGTGGGAAGTCCTGGCGCACACCGTCTTGGAAGATGATGGGCTTGTATGCGTCCTTGGCCGGTTGAACCGTTGACGGTGGAGGGTTTAGGGTTCAGGGGCTTAGGGGTTTAGAGGTTTCGGGGTTTTAGGGGTTTAGGGTTTAGGGTCAACGGGATCGAAATTCAAAGCGCGGCTTGTGTCTCCAGTCACAAGATTCAAAAAGGGCTGGAAATAAATGACAGAAAGCAAAACGACACCGACTCAACAAAACCTGCTCAAGAAGCGATTTATGGATGCAACCCAATACAGTTCCCATAAGCTCACCAAAACCTTAGACCCTCAATCCTAAAGCCTAACACTCGTAGAAACATTCACACCTTCAACTCTGCAGCTCAGCTACCGGGACACTTCGGTGCATCACCGGACTGTTGCGGTAGCGCTCCACATGCGCCTTGGCAAAGCGGGAATAGCAACAACGATCCCAATAGATATCAGACTAGCGGTACAGAGAACAGGGTATCAACGGCACCCTAAATCCTAACTCGTACACCCTAGACTTAGACCCTAAACCTGGACCCTAAACCCGTAATCGTAAACCCGAAATCCCAGACCCTGAACCCTGGACCCTAAACCCAGAACATTAAACCCCCTTTATAATCAGAATAGGGTTTTGGGGGTTCCTTATTATAAGTATAAAATATATACCCCCAAACCCTATTCTAATTATTGAGGCCTCTACATTACCTTGAACCCTAGAACATCAAACCCTACCTTAAACCCCAGAACCTTAAAACCCCTCCAGCCTTACAGTACCCTTATAGTATCCTTTAAAGGATCCCTTTAAAGGAACCCTAATCCCTAAATAAGCATCCTTTAAAGGATCCCTTGAAAGGAACCCTAAGCCCCAAATGCTGGAACCTGAGGCAGCCCAGCCTTGAACCCCTGGTGGGGACCGCTCCAGCTCACTTCGCAGACCTGCGGCCAAGAACTTACCTTTGGTTAGTAGGGAATGGTAGGGTTCCCTTTAAAGGGATCTATAGGGTTCCTCTAAAGGGATCTATAGGGGTTTATAAGGGTTACTATAAGGGTACCATAAAAAAGGGCCTTAATAATCCTATAATCTTACCTTTGGTTAGTAGGGAATGGAGGAATGCGGTACAATTTTAGCTACTATTACTACCATTCTTCCATTCCCTACTAACTAAAGGTAAGACAACCCGGAGTTCCCGAAACCCGCCCGTAATGAGGGTCTCATGGTTTCGGGTTGAGGGTTTAGAGTTTAGGGGGTAGGGGTTTAGGGTTGAGGGTTGAGGGGTTAGGGGTTCTAGGGTTTAGGGTTGGCCTCAAACTCCTAAACCCAGGTCTGTTACTAACATCATAGTAAGAAACCTTCTCGGGAGTGTCATCAGATATTGGGCCTTAATATACAACATGCCCCAATTTAGAAACCTCCAATATAGTCTAAGTGTCTGAGGCGTGTTAACAGCATCTTGCTTAATTGCACGGTATTGGCGGCTCGCTGTCTGTCCCTAACAACGTAAAACTGTGCTATGATTGCTTTGGCGCCCACATGCATCCTGCGTTGCTTTCCTCAGATGTGTGCTAAAGCTGTTCGGATTCTGAAACCTTGCCCTATGTCACGGGGAGTCGATGCTCACCCTAAACCTCATACCCAAACGGTGTAGGGTTTCCGCGCGCTGGTTGAGAAACTTACCTGACCATGAAAAGAAATGCACTACTTCCGATGCATAATATGCTCTTCCAGTGCCTGTATAGAAAGGGAACCCGTCCTAAACCCTAAACCATCCTGTATGATAAATTGAACGGAAGTTGTCCTAACATGTACCCGGAAGGGACATCGACTTTTAGGAGGTTCCCGCCGAAAGCGTTGAGGTTTTGGGGCTCCGAATAGAGACCTCTGGACGCAACGAATTAGGATTTAGGAACCTTAAAGGGCCTTGGGCGATTTTAGGATTCTATAAAGGGTTTAGGGTTTGGGGTTCTATAAATAGAGAAGAGAGGCGGTTTAGCAATTTAGGGTTTAGGGTCGTGTTGACACCGCTGACACCTGCTGCAGGATGCCTTTTATTTGCAAGAAATCAGAAATCACAGGACAGACGCAGGCTTTATTTAAGGATCAATATTTGCAGTATCCTGTCTGAAGCCACTTTCTCCAGCACCACGGAAACAATCGGTAAGGATTTCCGAAAGATCCATATGTAGGCTGCGCGCAAGGTGCACGTAGATGAGCTGTCATCAAAACCCCAGGGCTCGGGCTCCAAACCCTCATGCAAATCGAAATCTGCCCAAGCCCATTCAAACCTAGATTTTGAAGCCTTCAGAAAATATTGTTTTTTGGTTGCAGTAGAAAAGTTTTCGTATTCGGATTCGAGGAGCATTCCTTACTTCAGGTTCCTCAGGCTCTCTGGGTCCCTTATCCGGACCCTCAAACCCTTAAACCATAAATCCCAAAACCCAAAAAAGCCCAAATCCTAAACCCTAAACCCTTAACCGCAGCCTTCTGAGTGGGCAGCGCCCAATCCACAAAGCCATGGAAAGCGGCCCAGGCGTCGTCCACGGCAGAGGCATCCACGAGGTTTACGAAGGCGTAGCCCAGGTTGGCCTTCAAAGCCCCCAGGCAGGTTAATATAGGGGCCTTAATAATTAGAATAGGGTTCCCCTTAAAGGCTTCCTTTAAAGTGCTCTATAAGGGATCTGTAGTAGGTTCTATCGGGGGCCTTATTAATCAGAATAGGGTTTTGAGGCCATTATACTACAAATATAATAATATAATAAGGAACCCTCAAAATATTATGGCCTCCTGGTCCCTCAAACAAAGTTTTGGTACTTCGTACCCAGAAATCCTGCGTCCAGGCCCAGGGCCCCTGCAGTGTCTATAGCTATGGGGCTAGGGCTTAAGGGCTCCACGCGTTTAGGGTGCCAAAAAAGGCACAATCCTTGAGGGCAAGGAAGCGCTCCTGACTATGTAGTAAGAAACGGATCCACAGGTGAGTTCCGTAAGGGGCCTCATGCATGCTAGTGGCAAGCGAGTGCGTGCTTCGTGGCGGGTCTGCCATTTAAAGAGATCATGGGGAAAGCAGAAGATAACCCTATTCTGGTAGCTTAGATTCGGTTCACATGTCTTCAGGCATTCTAAGTCCGCCTGGCGCCGGAAGTCACAGGGCAAGTAAACGAAGTCGTAGCGCCCAGCAAAGCCGTTGTCGTCAAGGAGAGCGAGGAACATCTCTCGCGTGTAGTTATTGGGGACGTTACGCAGCATTACGGTCGTTTTGTCAGAAGCCCGCTTTGCCATGTTGTTCTTTCTCTGCACTGGCTGCGATTCCGGCTCGGTGGCTGGCTCTGTTGCCTTTGCCACCGCGGGTTTTTCTGCGCAGTCACTGGCATGCTCCTCGCTGAACTTTCCAGGCATGTAGGCCTCCTCACTGTCAAAGGCGATCACCAAAGCCGAGTCTGACATGGTCCGACCCCGCAGCTGGGCGAAGCACTGCATGAGGCCTTGGCCCTCATCCACATCGAGGAATGTGGTCTTGACGAAGACCTTGCACTGTCTCTGTCCGTCCCCCTGGCACTCCGCTGTGTCTGGGCGTGGAGAAGGAAGGCTGGAGGATGTCCCCTCGAGGCTCTCGCTGTCGCTGTGCTCCGGAGCCACTGTGGTCTCCGAGCCACTACGTCGCGCAAGCTTTCGGGGCGTGGCCGGCATAGTCGAGGGGCAGGACATGAAAAAAGCGAAGGCTACACAAAAGCTCGCGACAGTCGCACTGATTGACGACACTGATGTCCTGGGCCCGACGAGCTGCGAGCAGTTGCATTCACGAAGTCTGTCCATGGCTGAGCGGACATACGGCACACATATAATATCATGCATGCTTCAACGTTGCCGATCATGATGGAATTCTCGAAAATGCCTTCCAAAAGTTGATCGCAAGCGCCGCAGCTGGGGACGGAGCAATGCTGGTTCAGAAGATGACAAATAAAATATTTCTAAGCAAAATCAACCCTCAAATCTTGCACCATAAACCCTACGCCCTAAATGCTTTTTCCAGATGCCTCGCCAAGCAGGCGCCACGCGGCCAACATTTCGCCATGAGCTTGGCAGCTCCAGTGCTGCTCTTTGACAGCACTCACAGGAGAGACATTCATCCAATTGGCATTCTTCTAAGCTGGGGGTCCCTGTTGTATTAGGGTTTAGGGTTTAGGGTTTAGGGTTTAGGGTAACTGTTGGAGTCTGTGCTCAGCCAATTGTTTGTTGCAGGACCCCCAACATGGAAGAACCCCATCTGCCTCCTGTGCAGCCCCATCCGATTCTGTGCATTGGAGCTCCCTTTCCACACCCCTCGGTGCACACAAAAAGGGCAAAGCTTCAAGACGGGGCTTTGGAGCTGGAGAGCTCTGCGAAAACGGCCACTACCCAACATGCCGAAACTATACAGGTCTTGCAATTGCTCGCCGGAGCATGCCTTTAAAGACTTCAAACGCTCTCCTAGCTACAGACTGGGTGCCTTGATCTTCTTAGTGGGCCGTGGGAAGGGCTTGCAGATGCCGCCATGGAAGATGATGGGCTTGTACTCATCTGGCACACGTTTGTGCATCACAGGGCTGTTTCTGTAGCGCTCCACATGAGCCTCACGGTGCAAGAGTAGATGATTCAGGGCTTCGGACTTAGTAGGCCTTGGGGTTCAGGGTCGTTTTAAGCCTGACCTCTGTCGCGCTCACACACGCCTTGCCTCTCCTTTCTCCTTCCCGACTCACCCCAGAAGTTGCTGGTGCTGACATATCCACAATCCCATAAAGGCAAAGGCAAACCCTGACCTCTTCAGCACACTTGGAACAACTTCAATCAATAGGGCTACTTGCTTGAATGTTCATGCGTAGAAATCTACAAGCAATCATTTGTTAAGGTGCTGCAGAAGCCTAGGACCAACGCAAAGCTAGGGCGTATGCGAGTGTCAGCTCGTCAATTTAAGGTTAGGTTTTGTCTCCCAAATTCTGTACCTGCAGGATTTGAACGTCAACGAACCATACCAGATGACACTGTAAAAACCTACTTGGGGAGTCACACTAGGGTTTAGGGCTTAAGACCAAAGCTACTGTGTTGCAAGCGCCAACCCTGATCCCACCCAACATCCTGAAATTTCAACATGTGGAAGACTGCCCCAAAAGCCGCTGCCACCACCACCCCCGAGAACAAGAAGCCCAAAACTTGAACTCTGCGCCTTAACACCTAAACCGTCCCTGCACCCTAAACCCTAAACCTCCCTCAACCCTAAATCCCTCAACCCTAAACCCTTAAACCCTAAACCCTAAACCTCCCTAAATTAAACCCTAAACCCCAACCCTGAACCCCTAAACCCTAAACCCAAAGCCCCTGCACCCCCGGCCTCCAGCCCCTGGTGAGGGCCACTCCACTTGACCTGGCAAACCTGGCCAACAACCCAGAGACTGTAAGATCCCTTGGTTAAGGAATATACCTAGGCTTCCTTGAAGGGATCTATAGGGTTTAGGCTTTAGGGGGTTCGAATATGCCTGAATTAAGGAATATACCTGAAATCAGATCAGGAATCCTACTATGATTTAAAGTGTCTTCCTTAAGCAAGGGATACTGGAGTCTCTGGGAATGCCCCCGAGCCCAGTACAATGGTTTAGGGTTTGAGGCGTACTATAGGTGCCTTGATAATTAGAATGGGGTTTTGGGGCCCATTATACTATTTTTATAATAAGGAACCCGAAACCCTAAACCCTAAACCTAAATTTTGGTAATCATTTTGGGCCCCTATATTGTAGGTTGAGGGCTTAGGGGCTCGAGCCGCAACCCGGAAAAAATGGCTCGAGGCTTAATAAGGCCTGGATGATTGGAGGTAGTTTTAGCAGCCGTAGTGGTCGTAGTAGTAGCAGTAGCAGTGGCAGTGGCGATGGCATTTCATTCCTCACGCAGCGAATGATCCGATTTCGCCTAGCGAGCTGACTACATTCACGATTTCGTGAGTGTAGGAGCCTCGGGTGGGCTCTGAACGGCCATTGGCCAGCTTCATCCTGTAGCTTCTACTCTCCACGTTGTACTTCAGCCGATCAGGAGCTCAGCTGTCAGCACTTTCGTCCTTCCGGAGCCAGAGCAAATACATCACATCTGCATATGTGGAATGCTCAGCTTGTTTCGCCACACTGTCATCATCTGTGATCCATTGCCGTCGCTCAGCAAATGCTTTTTGCCGGTATAGCAAGGTACGATAATGGCCCTCCGTCGGCGCGTCTCCAAAATGAAGTTGAGCAGCTGTAACCTGGTACCGAATCCACTTCACTTGCATGCTGTTTGTAGCCACGAACAGAGGTAGCCAAATGCCATCACGGAACCCCACAAGTGCACGGCCGTCTCTGGCTATCGTCCCCTCCAGATTCCTGTAACGCATCAGCTGCAGGCATACGATGTGAGCTGCATGAGTCATGGCAAGTTTCGCAGTTACCGAGCACACCACCCCTCCACGGACTGCTGAAGATGAATCACATCGCCTTCATTCGGAACGATGGCAATTGGCTGTCCCATTGATCCAGAGTCAAGGGTGGCGACTCCATGCATCGCAAAGTTGCGTGCCTCCCAGCATCCATGCATACCCGTTGTTCCAAGCCTGGGCAGTAGATACATGGCAAGTTCGGCTGCATCGTGTTGGTGATGGACATTACGCCATGCCTGTAGCAGAACACTCCAGGGCAAGAGTTGTAGTACCTTGACAGCAGGAGGCGCAATCTTTTGGTCAGGCGAGCATAACATACTGAGGGCCGGCGCCGGCATCGGGAAGGTGCCGGAATGGAGACGAGCCTGTAGTTGTGTCCACAGGATGGCATATATGGTTGAGTGAAGGTAGCACAGATTGGAGGGATTCTGGAATTTGGCTGCGAGCAGATTTTTAAGCCGAGGAACCATGGCTAGGTCTGGTACCACTGCTGTGCTGCCGACTGCTGATTCCAGACCTCTTGTACAAGGTTGTCGTATGCTGGACGGTCTTTCCTCAATCTGCAGCCCAGAGTGTGCCATGCCGCCTGTCCGATCCACTGAGTCAGAGTGTTCCACAAAGCTCCGCCTTCCTGCCTCGTCGAAAGGATGATCTGGAACTGGATCCATTCCGAAGTGACTTCCGGGGTCAGTCTTCGGACTGACTTGAATCGTAGCAGAGACTCCTCGTTAACTGCCTTCCGGACATTGACGAGTTGGGCCAGTAGATCCGAGGTGGGGATCGGACGAAGGGTGGCGTCCACTTCCAATGCCTGGGTCGTAGCATTCCACTTCAAATGTTTCCACTGGTTCTGTTCGTCGGTCCAGCCCAAGTTCTTGGCTCTTGTCAGAGCCTCCGTATCCTTGGCCGTCTCCGTGAGCCTCTGATGCAAGGTGATGAGCAATTGCTTGAACATCACTAGTTTTAAGGAATAAGTGATCTTCTCGGGCGATTCCTCCTTCATGGCTCTCCACTTGTCCGCCGTGTCGCACAGCACTGGGATCATGCCCTCCGGGCCCGACCTGATGAAGAGGTGCAGCACCATGTCCTGCTTCAGCGCCGTGATCATCTGCTCCTGTCGGAGAACAAGTTGGGTCAGCTTGGACACTCGCTGCTCCATCCATTCCATCTCGGAGCCTGTCGGATCCGCCAGGTCCTTGGTGTTGCTCCAAGGACTTTCCAGCGTGAGCCCCGAACCACCTGTGTAAGCCCAGCTGGCTGCTGCATTCTGAGCCCTGGGTGGGGGCGTGTTTCCCTTCCCCTTGCCTTTGGACTTGCCTTTCCCGTCGCTCTCCCTTGTTCTGACTGCCCAATCGCTGTCTCTTGTTGAAGGTCTGATCCGGGCGGCTCTCCTCCGTCTCCCTCTTGACCGGTCCTGCTTGGCTCCAAAATAGCTTTTCCTGGGCGTCCAGGTCCATGGGATCTTCCCTCGGTCCTGTCATACCTAGCTTTAAGGAAGGCACATATATGTAGAACATGACATTGTTTCCAATGTCGGTCTTTGTTGATGTTACTGAGCTTGCAGTATCGACATGGAATGACTGTGTGCCGACGAAACCCCGTGAGAAGCTTGAGCGCATCAGGCTGGCATTCCGTCCATTCAGGGTGCTGTTTCGTCAGATGGTACTTGATACTGGTGGTAGCAGCCAACCATTGGAAACACAGAGGGCAGTGATGCTGCAGGTAGTCCTGGATGTCAGGCTTGAGCAATAGTTCCGTCCACTGCCTGTTGCCTAATGTCTCGCGAACCTCAGGTCGGTCACATAAAGGCAAGGAGCGAGAGGCAGGGAGATCAGACTCTGAGATCGCTGCAGGGGAGGCATGCGAGGTCGTTGGGTCATCGGAAACCGGTGGCACACCACCTTTAGGAGCTGATGCCGGAGTCAAAAGGTTTGTCGTGACTGAGGGCTCGCAGAAGGGCGCTGGCGTGGTCGCACGGAGAAGAGATTTCTCATCAGCTGCATCACGTCGTAGGACCTGACATCGATTACGTTTGATATGCTTCACTAGCCCGTCCCATTGACGAAAAGCATGGCGACAATGCCTGCAGGTAGGCAGACCCTCCAGTCCATGGTCGTACCTATTGAAGGAGCCTGTCGCTGGAACTGGTGTTTTCTTGGCATGATGGGTAGCCCCGATGGCAGTAGCAGTAGCAGTAGCAGTAGCAGTAGTAGTAGTAGTAGTAGTAGTAGTAGTAGTAGTAGTAGTAGTAGTAGTAGTTGTTGTGGAGTAG